GCTGATGTAGGGGACGTCCAGGGTGTTCATCAGCTTCAAGGGAAAAAGTCATATCTCACAACAAATGAAAATCCTCACGTCTGTACTAAAGTGTATTTTTCTCCTCACTGTGGATCTACTCAACTTCTGGGCAACTCATTGGATACTTCCGTGTTTTAAAACACAATTAAAGAACTTTATAAGGAAAATTTAGATTTTTTATTTTACACATTTTTTTATATTTTTATGTTGTATTCATAGAAACATATATACATGCATATCTGTATATCCACTTACAACGACTGAAGCAAGCAAACACAAACAAAGTTAAGATTCAATTTGCACACACTCCACCAACAATTTTCGCACTCAGTCATGAACGACTTGTCAACGTCAACGGATTTACAAGCGAAATCATGACTGCGAACTGAACCTTATTGTATTACTGGCAACAACAACAACTACGACAAGAACAAGGATAATAACAAGAACAACAGCATACAGTATAAATAGACAACCCCATAAAAATGACAATCCTGCGAGGAGAACTTGTAAATCCGACATGTTTGCACAGCTTCATTGCTTCAAGCACTCGACTCGAACACACGAGTAGCGGGGAGGGGGGAGGAGAAGTAGTTAGTAGCAGAAAATAAAAAAAGTACTTATGTCACATGGAAGGCAGTAAAATAAAGAATGCAATAAAATTGATGAATTACTTGCAACATAACGTTGCACGTTGATTTGCAGAGAGACAAGAACAGAGTAGCGAGTTCCATACAACGGGACAGCAACTGAGTGATTTGAATTTGCATATATAAATACATATGTACATAAGTATGACAGCAAATATTTATGTATATACAGTATGAAGAAAATTCAGTGGCTATTTACTTATATATGTACATTCATGCGCCCAAGTAGCAACATTATAGAACATTTCTATGTATGTACACGTGTAGAATTCTACACTGATGAGTTAGTCAACACTCACTATGTCACACTCATACATACATAGAGGACGTGCAATTGCTTCGTAAATGCCCGACAGCAAATAAAAGTGTTAGGAAATCTTCTTAAATAATGTTATCCACCCGATAACTAGGAATGGCAGGAACCACTGTAGGAAAGGAAAAAGAAGAAATTCCTTTGGGATGTTTTTCGTTGGTTCGCCTAGAAGTATGCTAAACACATATGAAGGAAGAGTTTGAAGAGTTTGGTGCTGACAAGAGCATAAAAAAATTTTTCAGAATCAGTGAGAACTTTCAACATTTTCGGTGACAACCAACGAAGTTTGTCTTAAAATCAATTCATTCCATCATATAAGTATGTGAACAAAAGTAATATACAATTCATTAGAAATAACTATGAATTTGCACACGCATACACATACAGTTTTAGAGTTTTTAGGAATTACGTAAAATAATAATAATAACCTAAGTTAAAATAAAAAACAAATGAAATAAAATAATATAAAATAAATAAATATAAAGTAAATAAAGTCAAATAATAATATAAATAAAAATAAAATAAAACAAATTAAAATATAATAAAAAAATTATGTTAAAAAGCTTAAATTAAAAAAATTAAATAAATTAAAATAAAGCAAAATAAAAAAAAATAAAAGGAAATTATGTAAACTATTATAAAATTAAATTCAAACGAAATAAAATGAAGCATTAAGAAAAAAACAAATTAAAATAAAAATTATAATAAAATAAAATAATATAAAAGGAAATAATATTATTTAATATAATTTAAAATAAAACAAAATATATTTATTATGTTTTACTTATAAAATAAATTGAATTAATTATAACAATATAAAACAAAATCAAATGGAACAAAATAAAATAAAATAAAATAACATAAAAAAATTAAATTAACTTCAAAAAATTAATTTAAATAAAAAAATGAAATAAAGTAATATAAAAAAAAAAACAAATATAAAAAAATTTAGTTAAAATTAAGTTAAATTACAATAATAAAACTAGAAAAGATGAAAAGAATTAAAATTAAATACATAAAAAAAATTATTAAAGTCAAATAAAAAATTAAATAAATTTCCATGCAATAAAAAAAGATTTTGAAATAAATAAAATTAAACTAAATTCAATTATATTAAATTTTTTTCATATAAAATAAACTTACATAACTATTTTTACATTATATTTAATTAATATGGATTTAGATTTAAATGAGAGCAATTTAATAAAATAATTAGCGGAAACCAATTTGATATTACGTTCCAAAAATTTTCTCGCTTTAAGTAGCTATTTTAAGCAAAAATTTTAACGGTCGTAAGATATTTATATGGAAATAGCCGTGGGGTATATATCGCTAATTTTACTATACATATTATCTGCCAATACAAATTTTTTCTTGGAAGTAATAATAGCTTCATAGTAAGTTATCGGGTTTAACCATAAGTCAATCTATGGTATTCATCGTCTGCATGGCGACCTGCTAAATCCCTTATAACTTAGAACTCACTGAAATATTTGCAAATATCTTAAATAAAAAATGAGCTTTTTAAATAAAAAACAACGATTGCTTTTTGGAATAAATTTAATCCTATATATATGCATATACCCAAAAGCTGCCAACATTCATTGGCTGTTATTGGTGCAGTACATAGAGGAGCGTCAGAACATTTTCGTTTCGAGTAGCAAAAAAAGACTGGATGATATTTTACACAGTCGCACGTGGAGCACTTGCATCATTTGAGACATAGAAGAGAAGTTCTAACAACCTAGCCACCATAATGGCAACTCCCATTTTGTTTTTTGGTTGATGTTTCACTCTTTGAACATTTCCTGTTTGAGGTAGCTGGCTATGATTGCGCATAATAACAACGCGGCTGTAGAATTGGGTCACTCCTCTTGTGCATATTTTAACCTGCCTCAACAACCTGTGTAGTCATAAATACGCAGAGAAGGCAAAACATGGCTTTCAGTTAGTTTTTCAGTTTTTGTTGTGTCGTTGTTGTGAACGATGATGATGGTGATGATAATGGCTGAATAGTAATATGAGTGGATGCAGTCTGTTTAACTGTTCTTCTACCTTTACAGGAGGTGCTGCAAATATTTGTTGCTTTTAGCATTAAAATGCAATACATGCACACATAGTTATATACGTATAAACATATGCATTTACATATACAACTGTAAACATTTTTACAATAGTCAAGTTGTTTTCCATTTTATTGCAATGCATTTGTATGTTGCGCGTTTGTATGTTGTGCATAAGTCCGGCGTATACGGTTTGGTTGAACTGTGTCTTTCACATATACTCGTTTGTGTATGTGTAAACATTTGAGAACATGCAAATCCTTGCAATGACTTGCACTCAATATGAAATGCACAGCACAAATAAATACTCAAATACAAGTAGATATGTGCTAAATATACATACATATATCTATATAGCATGCGTGTACTTGGATATGTGTAAATGGTTTAGACTATTTCTTTCTTTTAGTATAAAAGAATATTGCAAGAATACGGAAATATTTCAGTAAGCTCTCACTTTCAACATGAAAAAGAATTGCATTCGAAGAGTACAGTTGACTTCAAGGCACATAATTATAAGCTAGGGAAGGATCGATAAGAATCTGCGCCTACCAATAGTTTTCAGCTCATTATCACAAGAAGATCCTCCGAATCGTTTTAAAAGCAAAACGGAGATAATTTAAATGGAAAAATTTCATAAAATTGGCCAGCTCATTTTTTGTGGTAGCATAAGAATAGATTTTGCTGATCTTCATTTTTTCAATTTCATTGGACTTGCGGCCGGTTTTCCCGAATATCAAATGAAACTTCCCTTGATATAAGAAGACTCAAAGAGAGAAACACGAAGCAATTTTAAAATAGCTGGCAGTTAAGTTTAAGCGAGGAAGAATATTTAACTTAACCTGGGTTAGGGAAATCTTACCACCCTCTCTTCTCTTTACCTTCAATTTACTCTTGGGGTAGCAGACTACTAAGCGATTAAAGCATGTTTGTAGCAAAAGCAACTTGGCTACAAATATTTATTTTGAAAATGCCTGTTTTACACCGTTGAGTATCCCAGGAGGTCTATGGCCCAAATAGTAAACCACTTTTTTCAAATTTTTCGATAGAAACTGCATAGGTCAAAAGAATCGACCAAGAGCGCCTAGGGGTGGCGGTTTGTTTAGTTGCCTTCAAGATTTTTTATAATTATAAACTCTTTGGTTTAATGAGGCTCACCGACCACCCTGTCCTAGTTGTTTCCAACCAATATAACAACCTTCAATATTGCTATTGCCAGAGCTCGAACCTTACACCCTCTGCATAGTGGTACTCAATTTTGAAATAACCTTTCAAAATTGACATTTAAAATATTTCAAATCTAATATTTTTAATAAAATTCAAGCATGTCAAAATTTAGTTGTATATTTTAGAAATTTTTTTTTGTCAAAAACTTCTGCTTTGGTTTCCAAGCATATAAATTAAAATTACTTTCCGGAAAACTCTTAACATAACTTCGAAATAATTATAATATTATATATATCTATATTTTGTAATTTTTATTTATTTATTTTGGAAATGTTTGGCTTTAACTTTTACATAAAAATTGTGTACATTGTTCGTTCAAGTATACAAATACACATAAATGCTTATTAAGCTTTGGCTTTCATATACGCTTTCAAATTTCATATATTATTATTTATTTGTACTGCTACACACAACCCACAATTATATTTAGTATATTGCAATTTTTCCCTTCAAATTTACGCCCAACACATATGTACGTCAAGCAAGCTATTCCTTTTTATGCCAGCCTTTTCAACTACGTTTACTTCCACCTGTGCTCTACCCGCTCAGTATATTCCATCCAAATGTTCTAACCCTCCCTTTTAGGCGACATCTTGCGTGCTTTGTAATCTGCGCCAGCGAATTTATTTCACATTGTGTACAGCACAATAAATAATTTGAGTACAAAGTTTGTTGCTTAAATTGAAAGTTTAATTTTGGGAAAAACTGTTATTATTATTATTCTAGGGTTTGTTATTCAATTAAGCCAAATCCAAATCGAAGTTTTCTACCAGCAAAAATCACCGTGCATGGCACATATGAAACTAACATAATAACCGGACCGATTGAATTATGGTAATTAACAAATTAATAGCTATTAACTCATTAAAAAAATATGTATGATTCTATATACATTTGATATGATCCTGATTTCTAAGTTTATAAAAAAGTTGCTCATACGCCTTGTCAAATCGAAAGGGTAAGACCATTAAAAAAAACGTATTAAATGAAAACTAAAATTTAAATTTATATGTACATTAAAATTGAAATATATTAATTCAAAATGAAAATTATTTAATTAAAATATTGACACATATGAATATTTAGTTCTATGTCTCAGAATTTGTGTACATTTGCGGCGATGCTACCACAATGTGGAAAATGTTTGGCAAGCTATGCCATCAGTCGGAGGGAAAAATTCGTTTAATATTTATTGCAATATTTCACGGCAGCCGCAATTACTTTCAGAAGCCATTTATACTTTTAACGCTATACAAAACTATAACAACAGTTTATTGTGGCTAACTTTTTGCCGGCAAGAAATGCTTTCGAGCAAACAACCAACAAGTGGCCAAACTTAACTAGACGTGTATTTTAAAATAGAATAAAGAAAAATCTATTGTGCAAACATATTTATTTATTAAATTAAAAAAAAAAACATTTTTGTTATTAAATGTGCGATCTCTTTGCAACTACACTTAATGGAATTGTGACGTATATAAATAATTGTAACAAAGTTTCGAAATAATTTTTAATTTAATTTTACTCAAAAAAAATTGTTTATAAAAATTTTTCATTTAATATTTAGCGGGATACGTAGTATTTTTTTAGTTATGACTGAATATTTTAAAATAATACGATTACATTTAGAAAATTTTATATAATGAATTTCAATAATTTTCCGCATTTCCTCTCTTTCAACACAAATTTTGTACATACAATTTTCAAGTTGTATAATTTTCATAAAGCGCTTATTGTGCAAAGTACTTAAGCACCGACGAATACACAAATATGAAACTAGAAGAAATATACAAAAAGAACTACATAGGAGAAGATTTCATGTTTATTAAGTACACACTTAAAGTTCGCAAAATGAACTGAAATCCTACAACCTTGAACGTGTTTAACCGAAATATAAAATGCACCAACTGCAAAAGCAAATTAAAAGCAGGCCTTGCTTGTGTGTTTCAATTTTTTTTACTCGGAGCAAAAATCTTTCTTCATAAGCTAAAGGGCATGTTAATGATTACTCTCTTGAAAGTAATAATAGTATTCATATCAAAAAAAAAAAAAAAAAAAATGAAATGAGAAGAAATCGTTATCCTTCTAACCTGTCTTGAATATAATCATATTTTTTTAAAATGTGATTTAATTACATTTTATATTATTTTTCTTTCATTTTGTTTTATTTTGCTTAATATAACCATTAATTTTTCATTTCATTTTTTATTCCATTGTTTTCATTTAAATTTACCTTTAATTAATGGTTTTATTTCTTCAACCATATGTGATACAATTTCACTTTAAATACTTTAATTTAATACTTTTCAGCATTTTGTTTCCTTTAATTTTATTTCATTACATTTAATTAAATTTGATTTACATTGTTTATTATTTCACTTCATTTTATGTTATTAATTCACTGTAATTTAATTTAATTTATTTTCATTTAATTTAATTTTTTAATTCATTTCTTTTTTTTTATTTTTATTTTTTTTTTTATTTCCTCGTATATACAATATTTAATTTTATAGATCTTTATGTAATTTCTTTTTAGTTTATTTTTCATTTGACTTGACTTTTATGATATTTTATTTCATTCATCTTATATATAATATTTAATTTTATTTATTTTAATATTTAATTATTTTAGTTGTTTTCTTTTTATTGTACTTTATTTTATTTTATTTTATTTTATTTTCTTATTTCATTTATTTTCATTTATTTTCATTATTTTTAATCCCGATGGATATTCTGTGGAAGTTTCTGAAATTAAGGGAAAGTCATTTCGACTAAATACACACAAAGTTGATTTATAATTGAGAAGAGGTATTGACAGAATTTTTGTAGAAAAAATGAGATAAGTAGGTGCACTTAATTTATAAAAAATATTTTTTAGTATATCTTCAATTTTGTTGTTCAAATTGCATTTTAAATGCTTTTTTTTGTGTGTGTATAAAAATTTATATAATTATATGATTATGAAAAAGTGTCTGCAATTCGTTTATTATATTGGGTCTTTTGGGTTCGTGCACAATAACTAACACAAGCAATAATTGGAATTTCGTGTTTAGTTATATTTAGTAATAGGAAAAACCTAGAAAGAAAAGCTATTTGGAAAAAATTTTACTAATTAATTTTTTTCTAATTTTTCCGCTGTTTTTTTTCAATTTTTTTTTCTTCTTAAACAGGACATCACTGTTCATCGTCACCAGTTTGGTGTATGCCATCATTTTGATTGTTGTTTGCATTGCATATGTGATCAGCGATGTAACAACTCACCGTCTGCCAGTGCTCTATTATGAAACGTTCTTTACGTATTTATATGGTGTCAGCATACTCTTCCTATTGTATGTCTTTTGCTTCCTGTTGCAGGGTAAGTTCAAAAATTGTATAATAAAGTACTAAAAAATAAGTACTAAAAATTATACTTCAGTCAATTGACTAATTTAAAAACAAAAACATAATAAATAAAATTGTTAAACTTTTGGCAATTTCATAATTATAACAATTTTTACTTATTATTTAATAATTAATTTATAAATTTTAGTTTGCAATATTTTTAAATTTATAATTTTTTTTAAATTTTTTTTAGTTTTATTTACTAATTTTTTTTAATTAATTATTAAAACATTTTTTGCTCATATTAATATTCAATATACAGCTAAAACTTTTTTTTTTTTTTTAATTTGCTAAGCATTCGCTTATTTTCATATAAAATTTTGACAAAAAAAAAAGAAATTTTAATTTTTCTACTGAGCGAGTTGGCAAAAAATAAAAATTTTTTGGTAACTCTTACTAATAATTTATATTCCTTTTCTCCTACCTTCTTCGTGTAGAGAGTTCCTGCTGTAATGGCGGCAGTAAACCGAAATCACCACCTAAGGAGAAAAAATCCAAGAAGAAAGTACCAGATCCAGCCGATTCGAAGGATGCGAAGGGCTCTAAGGATTCTGGCAAGAGCGGCAAACCGAGTCCCTATCAGGTACATTTATTTCCAGATAATTATTTCTCTTATTTTAAAACACTTTTCTTGCATTTCAAATATTATATGTGTATTTTCAATGCACACAAACCTACATATAAACACATACACTGAAATTGTATTTGGTTGGAAAGCCTTCAGTCACCCTCTTGCTTTTATAGTTATAATGATAATTTCCCACACAAGCACAACCCTTTAGTGTTGTTGGTTACAATAGCGAATGTATTATTTATGAATTTGTGAATTTGAAAACTCTGAGGGTTTTTTCGTAGGTAATTGTGTGCTAATTGACTGTAATTACTTTAACTGTACTTCATTACTAAATCTATTAGTGCTTAAATTGAGTGTATGTTTTATTTTTTTGTCTTTTAGGGGGTTAGACGGAATATTTTTTATTTTTTATTTAGTTAAAAAAAAACAAAAAAAAAATGTTTTAAATTTCAGAAATAGCTATTGGTTTGTGTTTGAAAAGTTAAAATTGTAATTTAATTAATTATAATAAATTTCGAAAAATATGTTTTTGCTACCTTTAATGTGTCTTTTGCGAAATCACGATCCCAAATAAGTATTTTTTTCATTGTTTCATTTGAAATTCTAATCAATTAATTCACTTGTAAATATATTTGTTTGTACGTAAGTGTAATTATTAATTTCCTACTTTATTTTTTCATTTTACCACTACCAAACAACACCACTCATCATCATCATCCACATCCAAAAAAAAAATAAATAAAATGAAATGAATATCCATCACCACCGCCTGCCACTGATAACACAAAACCTTTAAAAAATTACAAAAACAAAAAACAAAATACCTACCAAACAAAAATACCAAACAATGCTGTAAAATAAAAATAAAACACAACACAAATAAAACCGGAAATCGATTTTGTGCATCCTGGCTGTATGAAAAAAAAAATTATTGCCCAAAATTGCTTTACAAAATGGCGAAATGTTAATCAAAATGCAATAATAAAAAATAAAAAATATTAATAAAATGCGCCAATCCTCAAATGCTGCTTAAATACGCGCGCTCACACTGCCTAATCCTGCCAATACAAAACTACAACAAATTCTGATTGTCTATCTAACTCTGCTGCTACACTACTGTACTATCTGGCTATAATCTGCTGTTTAAATTCACATATACTACACGCACACACGTATATAAATGTACACCAAAATACATGTATGCGCGTCTTTTGCCCGCCCGTTATGTACTTGTTACGATCTACTACATACATACAATACATAACATACATACATACATAAAAAAACATTAATCCGTTCGTCGGCAGGAACGATATCCGGTTAAGAAACGTGATCTGGTACGCCAGTCCTTGTCGTTACAGGTAAAACGCTTAGCAACAATACAACAATAAAATTATAATAACAAAAGCAAATAACAACAATTAACAAATAAAAAATATGCATATAGAGATTTTAACTTAATAACAGCAACATACGTATGTTAATATCTGCATATACATACAAACATATCTACATTCTTATTGTATTGAAAAGAATGTTACTTGAACTACTCATTTGATAAACAAGTTGTAGGGCTATCCATTTTGAGGTTTTGACAATAAACGTAAATAAAATGCATTTCAAATAATATTTTCATGAAAATCATCTCTTTTTGTAAAATTTGAAGCGCGCGTTATATGTGAAACTCTACATAATTCAAATGACAGCCACGTGAATTTTTGCAAACTTCGATCACTTTTCGGCTCATCCTGTCTATATATTAGTCATTGTTTGAAGAATGTTGGATTTGAGGTGTTCCAAAGTTAACGGTTTGTCCGCATAAACACGGTCTGCCGCTTAGCCTTACAAAAAAAAGTCAAACAGCAGCATCTCGGTGGCCAATTGACATCGCCAGGACAAAATATTACGCGGGAAATCTTTTTCGCAATAAAGCTATGGCCAATAGTTTGGCACAAACTTCTTTAAACCACATATCAGCCAATTCAATTGCAGGGCAAGAAAAGTCAGTTATCATACGACCGACCATAATTCGGAAAGTTACAGGAAACAGTCTCACATTTCTGCATCAAAGAGCGCACTAGACAGTATGTTTTTTTTTGTGTAATGATCTCCCAGCAATTATTTGAGGACTCTGCTTATTGTTCAAGCACCCAGTCGTCATATGCACGGCTCAGCTGGCTTCAGTTGTTTTATGAGCTGGACTTTATACGAATGAAAGTTCAAAGGCAAATTACGCCATAATGTGCCGTAAGAAAGTCCAAGCTCTTGAGAACTTCGAGAATTATACACATTGAGGTCTTTGTCCACACTTCTCCTTTACAACCGCTGAAGCGAATTTTCGTTGAGCTACTTCTCCAACTTGTGGTTTTGTGTCTAGATGTTTTTCCAACAAATGAAGGGACCTACAGTTTATGGTAAGGAGACTCCGAACGGCTGATGATTTTTTTATGAGAAGCTTAATTTCATGTCTGAAATACACAGGAAGGGGTTGACATTCCCTGCCGAGGTACGACATACAGTAGCTATTTTGGAGCAAAAACTAGCTTTATTTGAGTTCGAATGAACAAAACGATGTAGCACAAGGCTAACAATAACTATAACCGACTGGTTGGCTTCTAAAATTTCTTTAATACTGTATTTTACCAATTGCTTGAATAGTTAGGATGTTATGTGGCCCATAATCTATTCGTAAAGCAGTAAATGCAGCCAAATTTGAGACTCCATATTAGTAATAGATTTTAACAATTTTAACGCGATGTGTGGTTGTTAAGCGATACATTGTCATAAATGTCTGACTTTTAGCAAAAACAAAACATGTTTGGTTTGACAATTAAGTTTGACAGATATCAGAATACAGCCATGTGCTATTTAAACCACGAAATGGATAACCCTATATTATATGTAAATCTGAATGTGGAATGTGATCGTCGCGTATTTCTCTATCTCTTTTCTCTTGTGCTAATCCTCTTCATGCCGTGCTTTATCTAACACTTATATGTCTTACTAACCTCTAAATATCTGCTAATACAATTTATCTCTACATTTTCCTCTTCAGTTTTTATATAATTCTGAGATATCAAACTAACAACCGTTTGGATAGTCCTCTAAGGGAAACAAAATAATTAACATTCTGTAGAGTGCAATTTAAAATCGAATTGAATTATTTGAAAATTTGAAACAATCAATCATACCACGATCATGAATTTCTCAAATTTAGCTATGTTAAGGAAATTTACATATATTTTTTGGCAAAAGCTTCTAGGCGTTAGCGCAATTTTTGTAAGCGAAATATTAAATTTATGTCATTCAAGGCAGCTATTTTTACGATTATGATCGTCCATTAAGAAGTCCTCTGATAAGCTGACGTAAAAGTCAGTCTTGTGCAGGTGAAAGTAGACTTTGTCAAGAACTACACCGTGAGATTTTTTACCCCTCTTTTTATGTTCAATATTTCGTTGGTAGTATGTTTATATATAAGTAAGGGTCTTATTTAAATAAAATTTAGTATACCTTGACAAAATCGATTTTCAAATTGAGAATTCTATTTATACAAAAATGCTTGTTTTCGATTTCAAAATATCGGTCATTGAAATATTTTTTTTTTATTTTAACCACTTCGCTGAATTATTTTCCTCTGTTTGTAGCTTTGTATTGCTTTTAAATTAAAATGTCAGAAGCATTAACATTTTGCCAATTATACCAATACTTTTGCTTACAAAAAATAGGTGGCAACTCTTGAATTAGTTTTATTAAAAAAATTTATGAATAAGGTATATCTTCCAATTTGGTGTATTGTACGTATTTATTCAATTGAATTTGTTGAATTGATTAATCAATTTGCAGCGTCATCTATGGGATAATTTTCAAAAGAAGTATTATATGGTTTTCCGGATTTTCAATGTCGTTATTCTTACAACTTAAATTTTAGTAATTTGATCTAACAAAGTCTCCGTCCTGAAGGACTGACTGACGGACCAACGCGCGACCTAAGCAGCTCAACGTATAGACCTGTAAATTGTATGGTGTACCTGATGTGTGATGTGGAGATTCTACAAGAAAAGACTTTCCAAAATTCTATCCCTAAGGTGTTTAGAAATCACCAACTTAAAAGTGGAACAACAATCTGGTCGAAACAATTACACTTATATTTAGCTAGTCCTTTGCCTAGATTTTTATATGGAAAACTTTTACTTCCAAGAAGTGGACGGGGTACGGTGTTTTCAAAAAAAATCATATGGACATCATATTCATTCTCAAAAATGTACATCTTTGCCGGGAAGTAGACTAAAGACCAATCTACCCGAAAAAAGAATCGTTTTAATGGTTCCATTTAATAGCAACTTGGGGCTCGCTGGGGTACATATTAAAGCTTCACAAAGCAACTGAAAGAATTAACTTCAGTAGCGCTTATATACCATACTAAAATCAGGTTAATTCCATCAGTTATTACTTGATATCTTCTGCTATTTATTCCAAAAAAAGATTCACAAGAATGTTGTACATTGACTGTATAAGATGTCTACCTTAATAAACGATTGTTCCTATATGGAGATATTTGTAAGAAAAAAAAAAACAAAACAAACAAAAGAAAACAAGAAAAACATTTTTTTTATCTGAAAAAAGTCTTAAATCACAAAGAAGAAGTCAGTAGAAAGAAGTTGTACACAATTACGCCATTTTAGGCGTGGTAAAAAAAATTCATTATTTTTTCAATAGATTTCGTTATTTATCTGTATTTTGCGTATCGTATGCCCGATCGGGTACCGCTAGATGCGTTAGAAAGATGACATTTCACACTAAAAAGATTTTCTGAAAGTTTTGTAATTAGTTGATTCAGTTTTGTTTGAGCGTGAGTCAAAGATGGAGACTAGCAAATAGAAAATTCGGTATAATTTACAGGTTTTCTTCGATAAGGGCGTTTATGGTCCTGATACTGTTACAGTCAATCAGGCACAATTTCGGTTTCATTCAGGTAATTTTGATGTAAAAGATGCTTCGCGCACTGTAAGGCCAATTGTCAAAAATGTCGATAAAATCATGGACATTGTCGAGTCCGATCGTCATGCAAGCACTATTTCGATTGCCCAAAAACTAAAGAGTGCACAAAAAACCGTTTGGAATCATTTTAAAAAGTTTGGATACAAAAAGCAAAAATTAAAACCTTAAATTTCATGCAATATAATGGACTACTTTTTACTAGACCTAATATATATGTATGCATGTGTACTTTAAAAATGGTCAATGTTTAACTTCAACTTCCTTTCGTTCTTCAGACTTTCGCATTATGGTTTACTACTGCAGTTGCCGGATATAGAAATGAGAAATGAAAAATGTGCAGCTCAAACAATTTTCCACTTTTTAAAGCAAGCTTCATAGTATTCAAAAGAAAACTTTAGTATTTAAATAAAAAGTTCGCCTAATAAACTTACAGAAAGTTTTTCTCTACTTTCCTTAAACACACATGTACATGCTTCCTTAGAATAACCAAGAGTTCTTCCATTACTTTGTTTCTTCTCTTAACCTCATATTCAACTTTTCTGTCACAATCACATTTTGTGGTAGAAAATATCTCTTAGAATATATGACTACATGAATATATGAGTGTCTACCACTGTTTGCGGCAAGTTTGCTAAGAAAAGCCGCAGAAATTTTGAAATTTATCACATTTATTGCAAAATAGACAAAGTTGTAAGCTATTAGCTGTAAGTGACAAGAGTTTGTTGCGAGTGGCAAAACTTCCAGCAGCAGTCTCCTTAAACGCACCAGCCAAGTAGGCGAGGCGCACTACGTGTAGTTAAGTCAGGCATTTAGTTATCTAAGTTGGCGAGTAGTTAAGTGCGGGTGAGTGAGTCAGTGAGTGAGTGAGTGAGTTACGTAGACATATGCATTCATGTAGTATGCATTAAAAGTCGCTGTCTGCTGCAGTGCACCTTTCAGTGCACACTTATGCCTCTGAACGAGTATACGAGTATGTGAGTATGTTTGTTTCAACAAAAATCATAAGTCAGCAAGAAGTTTGCACAACTTTGGTTTGCCACACTCCGCTCTGCCATCTACATTTATACGTCTGACTACGTACGTACGTCTTTTTGTCGACTCTAATTCCTCTGGCTCCAATGCTTTGGTTATGAATGTCTCATTGTTGCGCCCATTTATGGGCCACATTACATTTAGTATTAATTACCAGTCAGTATCGAATTGCCATAATTGTGTGGGCCATTCGACGAATTGTATGTAGATGTGTATATATGTGTGTATTGTGATGTTGATGTACATATGTTATTGTGGCAGTTGCCGTAAACAAGCGCAAAATGGCCAAGACAAATTGCAAAAAAGAGTGTGTTAATGAAAATAAATGAAA